AAACACGTCATATTCATGTTATTAGTTCACGATTTTTCATATTATTGAAATATATACTTCATATACTTATTTAATTTATTGAAAATTGACTATTTATTAATAATTAATAATTATTCTAGGGCATAAAGAGAATATTCGTTCATCTAATCCAGTGTTTCCCAATGTGGGGCCCAGGCCACACAGTTTCTGAAGTGAACAATTAAATTTTTTTAATTAAAAATTATGTATGTTACTTGAATCAGATTTTGGAGTTATATGTAGATACTTTAGGTGCGTTAGGGAAAAATGATGGGAGAAAATTTTTACGATGCGCGCGCACACCGTTACAAAAAATCGACACCCTGAAGACAATTTTTGAATATCCATTTCTTATAACAAAACTTTCAATGTATTAAATACTTTTTTCTATTGTTAGTGTAGTTTTTTCTACAAACTTAGAATAAGGCGAAAGATAAAATATTAAAAAGATTTTTATCTTGTTACGCCAAATAAGTATAATAGACCAGTCAGTCAAGACAATTAATTCATAATAATTCCAAAAGTTTTCAAATTTTGATGTAAGGTCGGGAGTGGTATTAAAACAAACTATAAAATTTTGCAACCTGCTCTGCGGTCCGGAACATTGTTAAAAATAAGTTTTGGTCGTGAAAAAAATTCCAAAAGTTCTGCAAACTTGGGGAAGTTTTCGATATAATATTTCATATCACGTATAAAATTTGCAACCAACCTAAGTGTACGGAACATTTTTTGTTATTAAAAATTAATGTTTTTCTTTATTAAACTGAAGGAAAACGTTCCAAAAGTTCTGCAAATTTGACAGATATATCGAAAATAAAATAAATAACAAAAAATGTTCCGTACACTTAGGTTGGTTGCAAATTTTATACGTGATATGAAATATTATATCGAAAACTTCCCCAAGTTTGCAGAACTTTTGGAATTTTTTTCACGACCATACAGCAAAAATTAATTTAATTGCAATTTTAACAATGTTCCGGACTGCGGACAAGGTTGCAAAATGAGATTTATTGTCGTCCCAATGTACCATTCACTTGACCGAAGTTTGAAAACTTTTGGAATTATTATCAAATTTTCGATTTCGAATGTCTATAATGACTGGCCTATAACTTCTAACGTAGTCATAAGTAGAAACACATGTTTTTTTTTGTAAGGCTAAGGCTTTAGACACAAAAAAGGTTGGGACACATTGATCTCATCCATATCAACTGGGTGAAATTGTGGGTAGGTACGTTAAAAGACTTTCTGGATTCGCAGCCGAATCAAATCTTTAAGCTAAATGTGTTTTTTTAGTTTTTATGAATATTAAAAATCCAGATTAATAGATTGCTTTTTAATTAGTTATTTTGTAGTTTATGTCTCACAAACAAACAAGAAGACTAGCTAGTAACTTAATACGAATAGATAATATTTCTTCAATAGGTTAAATATTCGCGTCTCAGAGACAGTCTATATTTAACAGTTCTAGAAGAAGAACCAGACTTTATGAAGCTACAACCAATATTATTAGACGCTCTTATTATTATCTCTTACAATTTGCCATGCTCCATACAAGAGAACCATAGTAGTGCAAAAGTACCAGATTAATGGATGGATATTCTAACCAGCCTTGACTAACTCTTCATAAAAATCCGTGATTCATATTTTATTGTAAAACTATTATCCATATATCAGCTACGTAACTTACCATTTAACTTATAAATAACTGCATTTGAAACTCTCAATAACAAAGCGAAAATACACGCCTTGAAAAACATTTGACAACTGCACGTCACGATTTTCAAACGATTAATGTCTACAACATAAAACTATTAATATTATAATTAGGTACGAAAAAACATTAAAATTATTATTGCTTGAACCATAATGCAGCTATGCTCCACGACTAAAGATATAAGGCCTTAAAAGATCACCTTCAGTTATGTGCTAAGTTCAGCTTATAAGTTATCAAACATAAAATAAGGAACAAGGTTGCTCTGTAATTTTTGTATGCAAGTTCGATGTAGTTTTCCTTTTTTTTATAGAACAGGAGGCAAACAGGAGCCTCACCAGATGTTAAGTGATACCAGAAGGCTCGCGAGCGCGTTGCCGGTCTTTTAAAAAGGGGTCAGGTAATAATTTACGGGATATTACGCGGGTGAATCGCAAAACAGCATAAATGTTACGTAGTCTTAATATATGTAAATTACTTTGTCCCGCTATGGACTCCTAAACTAGTTAACTGATTTCAGTAAAATTTGCACACCGTGTGCAGTTTGATCTAAGTTAAAAGATAGGGTAGCTCATATATATATAATTCTACTCTGTGTGTATGTCACTAAACTCCTTTTAAATGGCTGGACCGATTTGAATTTTTTTTTTTTTGTATGCGTTTGGGTGACGCCTTGGATGGTTTAGATTCACAAATCAGCCCAGCAGATGGTGCTGCAGTCGGTATCATACTTTGTTTAATATACTAATCGCTTGAAATATCATGTAGGACAACGTCTGTCGAATCCACTAGTCTAATCTTACATTTTAACTTTTCTAATCTTATTTATGTACCAAAAGTGTTGCTCGGATAGAATGCGAAGGTGAACCCGGAAACTCTCTAACGTGGTCTTGTAGGAGCTATCTAAGGTGGTTTTAGTGGGTATTTCTTAACCAGTCTCTGAATAGCAGAGAGTGGATCGAGTCCCACATACCCGTGCTGCTTTCGGGGGCAGAAGAAAATGTGATATAATTGAGGAGGAAAATTTTACATTTTCATTTAAAAAACTGACAGGCGTTATATATTTAATTTTCATATATTAAATCAGAAGGACTGTATTACCGATCCGAGATCTCTTTATCAGCATTTTATACTAAAAGTCCCATTAAGCGACGTAATTTAAAAGGTAAAAGAAACACAACTGCGAATTATATCTATACATAGGAGAATGTAGAGAACGGGGAACTGTTCCTTCAACCTTAAAGGATCTTTAACCTTTGACTGGCCGGCGCGAAAGCCTCACTAGCTTACGTCGAGATGGTATTTGACGTCACCTTACTGATTGTAACCGTAAAATGTAGATGTCACTACATCAGTATGAGCCTATAAAGCTTTACAAGTAAACAACTAAACGTTTTTTTTGTGTTCTTAAGCTGGGTATCGATTACGCGCTCCATGAGGTCGAACATTGGCGCGCGCTCCAGCCGCGCGAAATGGATAGCATTTTGGAACGCGCGCCAATGTGTTCGTTGGAGCGCCCGAACGCGGAGCGGTCCGTTCCGACGGGTGTCGGTTTTTTACCACGCATCAATCGTGGCGCGCGCGCCAGTTGGGACGGACATATCGTATTTTTTGTGTTTGTTGCGCTCCCAATTATGGATATCCAAAGTTGCCTTAAATTAATACAACTGTATGGTCCAAAAGAACTACTGTGGAATAGCAAAAGATCTTCGTATCATAATAAATCGCTTAGAGAAGATCCTTGGAGAGAAATCAGTAGTGAAATGGGAGTCCCTATGCCGGAATTAAAGAAAAAAATGACTGTGCTCCTATCATCGTACAGAAGAGAAAAATTGAGAATATCTAAAAGCCAAATCACTGGCTCTGGTAATTATTATACAGATTTTTTAAAATTACAACTGTTAATTAACTCAAAATGACGGTTTTAAAGATTTAGCTGATTTTGGTTTTGAAATATTTTTACGACTGGCTTCCATGATGAAGGGTCGAACACTGGAACAGTTGCCACGCGCGCCAGGCGCGCTTAGTTGATATACTTCAAATATTTGGAACGCGTTTCACGGAACGCACTCTCGGTGCGGTCATTCATGGCGCGCGCGCCAGGAGCGCGTAATCGATACCCAGCTTTAGGCTACAGGGAAGTAAAAAAATTTTTAAGGAGTTTTTTTTTTATAGAACGGGGCAAACGGGCAGGAGGCTCACCTGATGTTAAGTGATACCGCCGCCCATGGACACTCTCAATGCCAGAGGGCTCGGGAGTGCGTTGCCGGCCTTTTAAGAATTGGTACGCTCTTTTCTTGAAGGACCCTAGGTCGAATTGGTTCTGAAATAATTCAGTGGGCAGCTGGTTCCACATAGTGGTGGTGCGCGGCAAAAACTGCCTTGAAAAACGCTCAGTTGTGGAACGGCGGACGTCAAGGTGATACGGGTGGAATTTCGTATTCTGCCTCGACGTCCGATGATGAAACTCAGCTGGAGTAATGTACTTCTTGTACTTTACCCTCAGGAGGTATTTCTTTTTATTTTATGTAACAATACCTAGCAATTTAGTTGCGTAGATTATTAATGTAGATTAAAATAATAAATAAATCAGTGGGGCTACAGCCTACAACCTTTTTAGACCTGGGCCTCTTTTCTGTTTGGTAAATTCTGTATCCGTTTCATGATCATTTGTCAATCTATTAGGCAAGTAGGTGATTAGCCTCTTATGCCTGGATCTAAAGCAAGTCTGTTTCTTCACAATGTTTTCCTTCACCGTTCGAGTCAAAGTTAAATTCGCACATAGAAAGAAAGTCCATTGGTGATCGAGCCGGGATCGAACCTACGACCTTAAGGATGTGAGCCAACACTTACATATTATGATAGATTATTAGATAATTTATGTAATCTGTTTTTATATGAATGTTTAGGGTAAGGAAGTGTAAATAAATATTTCAACAAACATTGTAAATATATTATTTCGTTTTGGTTCATGTGTACAAAAAAGACTACCATAGTTTAATTTCTCGCATAACAGTGCAACAACATAACTGCAGTCTTAAAACTAAACAAACTTACAGAATGTATATTTTATTTCCTTTTTTAATCTACGCATGTTATACTCGTGCAGTAGTGTAACAGTACAAAGTACCAATTAATTTATTCCAAAAATTTGTATAGACAAACGTTGAAATAATAATATTCGTACTATACATAGCAATAACTCTTATAAAATATTATTCCTAAATGTACGATTCAATTCTGTACTCGGCGAGTGTTAATTGCCGTAAATTTAAATGACATTCCAGCGTATACAATCACTGACAATACCACGGAATCTCTTAGCAAATATTTCATTTGGTGACATTACGAATTGATTATAATCAAAGTTTCCAAGGTCCGGTGCTGCGTCTTCTTCTACAACAACTGTTGGAAGGATTGTGGCACCGATGAGCATTGCGTATGGTAGATTCTGAAAAATTAAATTGTATTATTGATTTGAAGCATATAATTTTTCCAAGAGACTTGTAGAGTGGAAAGAAATGGAGGAGGCCTTTGCCAAAGTTGGGCAAACAGATGGATGGATGGTGTCACCGACTCACTAGTGATAATAGTTTAAGTTTAAAATTATGTAAAATGTTCTATCTGAATAAAGGCTTTTATTATTATTATTATTGATCCACCTTGACATGTGTATGAATTGAACGTTTTGTTTTTTCTTATTTATTCATTATTATAATTAATTGCATTAATACGTAATGAGGAGCATGATGTCATGATTGCAGCTGCGCACAAACATGTAAGTAAAAAAAACAAGACAAAATAAAAGAGTGACGGATAGTTAATTGCCCGTTCTATGCTATTAATTTCAGAACTCAGTAAATATAAGAAGCATTAATTTGTTTCATGATATATCATATTTAAATTTTGTTTTTGGTCGAATTATAAATTGAACGAATGCAGCAACTCAGCTATACATTACAAAGCAAGGCAGTAAAATACTTATTCATATTTTTATTAGCACTTTACTAAAATAGCTGTGCATTTACCTATATAATAAATTGATAAGTACAACTAAATATATAACTACAATTAACCTGTTTGCCCTTTGCGATAAAATATAACGATAACATTGCTAGATATTATATTTTTATCAAGAGTTTTGTTTCATTCAAGAGTTTGACAGTTTAGAAACAAACGAATACAAAACACCATTATGATTAGCTTAATCATAATGGTATTAGACCATACTAAGGAGTTACTCCATAGAGATGGATTGATGAAATTCTCTAAGGCCCAAGAGCACTATTACACGCTAAAAATATAATTAAACCAATACAATAATTAGACTATCTTCAAGACTCAATATAATATGTACTCGAACTGACACAAGCATTGATAACTCGGATAAACGATGTATTATGCAAATAAACTTCAGATAATACTTATGGATTTGGGGCATATAACAATAAATGTATTTATATAAAAAGATAAATATATATACAACACTTTTCAGGCAGTAGATGGTACAATTTTATTGTATCAGAAGAAAGGGAAAAGCGAGCTATGTGTATATGTAACCGTATACTTTTTTTATTTATGTAATAGGAGGCAAACGGGCAGGAGACTCACATGATGTTAAGTGATACCGCTGCCCATCGACACTCACTTGTACTACGACTCTAAATATAAAAAAATTGCTAATTTCTAATCACCTCTTTCATGTCTCTATCGAACTCTTCTCTCGGATAAACCTCAGTGGAGTCGATAGAAAGCCATTCCATCATCTTGGACAGACTGTTGTAGTAATGGTCGAGTAACTTCTCGTAGTATTCAGCTCTGAACTCCTCGTCTGAGCCAAGGAAGATTAGATACACCAGATCGGTAGCCGGACAACCTGCGTACACAGTCTGGAAGTCCACTGCAATCGCTTGTACTTTCTCGTTCTGAAAATTAACATTATGTTATTTAACTGAACGAAACGATTGTTCAGTCTTCAACTTCTTTGATGGGCTAAACGTGGTTTAAAATCCCCTACGGCCTACAACGTAACATCCAATAGCGATAGCGATATTGACCTTTCATAGTTCCAGGTTTGCGAAATCATTGCTTCGGATATTGAGAGTTTGGTATTGTTCTAAAATTTTGTTATTGGTGTATTTTGTTATGAAATTCTAATGCAAGCTTTGATTGAGTACTTGACTCAGAGTTACCTAATCAGGCATTTCAAAAAGAATTGTTAAAAAACTACGTTGCATTCTGTTTCTAAATTGTTGATAATTATATTTTCCTCGTTAGCTACAATACAAATGCAATCAACGTATAATATTCTTATCTTCTCAAATTATTCTTTTCGATAAATGTAATTCTGAATTAATAATAAAAAGATAATATCGCTATACACATATTAATCCCAACATACTAAGTAAGTAATAAGTATATAAAATGTAGTCATCGAAGATTATCCATATTTGACAAACGACAAATATATATGGTTATTATTGTTTTTGTAAACGTCGCAACCCCTCAACCTCTAATTTTGTGTTAGTTATAAGCTCATATTTTAAAACATTAACGTCAGTTGTTACCCAGCTTCAAAAAAAGAGTTTTATTTATACATCTCCATAGTAAAACCGCCACCATACCTCGTAAGTATTGCAATTCAGCGAGGAAATGCTGCCAGTGTTGAAGGTACACTGCCAAACTTTCTAATATTCTATATATTAATTTTTAATTATACATAATTATATATTTTGATTATAACTATACTATATAGGTAAAGAATATTGTAAATAGCTAGTTTATAGTTTCTTAAGGTGCGCTTACACGAGGGCAATAATTGCTCGGCGACACGAATGGACCGATCTGGAGCAATTTCAATAAATTCAATAAATTATTTCGGCGATATTGCTTCTAATTGCTCCAGATATTTCATATCGCTCAATGTCGCAGATACGAATTGACGAATATCCAATGGATTTGGAAATTCCTAGCAATTTTTGTATATATCTCATTCGCACTCGTTTGTTTTGCGGCTTGCCGTCTTGCTTCCGCGGGGAGAGCGAGAGGTCTAAATAGTAATAATTTCTAATTCCTTTATTCAAAAGTAATTCAAAGTCTGTTCGTGACATTCTAGTAAAGTTTTTGAATAATATATTATCTAATTCTTGAAAAAAAAAAAACAATTAAATTAAAGAAAAATTAAAAAAATAATAAATTAAAACTTTAATTATTATTAATTTAATTAATTAATTATTTTTTCTTTAATTGTTTAATTTTATTTTCACAATGAAAATTGCGGCCTCTGCCAAAAACGATCGCACCCAGATTTGACGCACCAGACGCCCATTCCTTTCTTTCTTTTTTGTTTTTGATTAATAATAAAAAAAGCGCTACAAGCCACCGCAGCAACAACAATGTCGTCCATAGCGAGCGAATACTGAAATGCTCGTGTAGGACAGTATTGCCTAGTTGATGAAGTTGCGCCATATCGCTCAATATTGTATTGCGCAGTATTGATACTTGTTGCCGTTGCCGTAAATTGCTAGATGTAGTCGTGACGTCATAGTTGACGAGTATTGACTGGAATTGAGCAATTTTAGTTGCCCGTGTAAGCGCACCTTTACATATTTCAGTTGTATGTTTAAAGTCATGTCATTCGTTAATAAATATTTGAAGGCCAACGTTATAGTAATCGAATCTTTATTTCTGATACATTTAATTTTTTTTACACAGATACGTTTTTATAAATATTATTTGTTTGCACAGACTATTTGCAGTTATCACAAGAGAAACAAATAGTAGTTCCCATTAGTAAAACAATTTTGGGATGAATAAATCAGCTAAATGAATAATTGTATTATTATTAAATCTACATCCAATAAATCTTGTTTCAATGTATAATCTTATATATAAGAAACATACCATTAATGACCTAATGACTTCCTCTAGGACTATTCAATTAACATATTAAATAATTAACTGAGTACTGAGATAACTATTATTCTGTACGGTTAAAAGATTCAACTTAACATTCATTTTACGTAAAATATATTGGTAGCTTTACTGCAAATATTTAAAGTGATTTTTTTATGTAATAGGAGGCAAACGGGCAGGATGAACCTGATGTTAAGTGATACCGCCGCCCATAGACACTCACATTGCCAGAAGTGTGTTGCTGGCCTATCAAGAATTGGAACGCTCTTTTTTTTGAGGGGCCCTTAGTCGAATTGGTTTGGAAATACTTCAGTGGGCAGCTGGTTCCACACAGTGGTGGTGCGCGGCAAAAACTGCCTAAAGAAACGATCAGTTGTGGAACAACGTACGTCACGGGGTATGGTAAATGAAATATGAAGAGCTATTGTATATGGTTATTATTTTGGTAAATTACGTGAATTCGACTTTCTTACGCTTAAAATGTTGTAAGGCCTTCCTTGACTATATGGTTATTATAAAACCCGGTCCTGGGTTGGATTCCTGACGACTTTATTTCGGGCTTGTAGCTAGAGAAAGGTAACGTGAAATAGTAAATTCTATAATTGTACAAGAAAATTCTACACATTACTACATTTAGGAGTTTAGGTACCTATTAGTGTTAAAGTTATGTTTTAGTTATTTAATATATTACCTTCTTATGATTCGACCAAAATTTGAAAATAAGTCAAGTGAAATATTTACAACCATTTTACGCGTGATTTAGATCGCAATCGCAATCAAGAAGAATTACCGTCTAACCAAAGAAAACGTACGTGCAAGCGTAAAGTAACCTATATCTGGGTTAGCTATAGATAAGTAAATTAATATCGTTACCGTTTTCTTGTATAGCAAATTGCTTAGCCTAAAGTCCCCATGCGAAAGTACTGGTGTGCCAATAGGTTTAGTGTATGTTTGTGGTTTTGGCAGGGATTCATAAAACTTTGCCACTCGACCCCTTTGCTCATTTTTAATTACTGCTAGGGATCCAGCTAAGGTCTTAGCCCAATAAGCTTTTGCATCTTCTTCGTTTACCCTACTCCATATTTCATATTTCATATTCAATACTTTCTCAAACTCTTTCGGATAGTCCTTTGCGAATGCAAATGACAAAGCATGGAATTTCGCAAGATAAAGAGCGATGTTAGACGCTTGCTCCCAGTCAAAACATTTAAATCTATCAAATGTTTCATATCCCGATGCAACTAAATCTTCTAATATAATAGTCTCTTTTCCACCCATTCTGCTGCTTCCATAAAATTTGGGAAATTTTAATCTGTCTTCTTCAGAAATTTCGTATTTTACCTGCAGGTCACTGTAGATTTTAGCTAATTCGTTGAATGCAAACCTCTCAGTGGAAAACATCCATTCTGAACACTTGCCACGAACGACTCCAACTTTAGCGAATAATTTCAAGTCACCTTCAGATGATTTGACGTTAATCGAGAAAAGTTTGGAGCTAAAACTCGCCCCATGTGTGGGTTTGCTCTTAATTGTCACATAATTGAGTTTGTAGCCATGATTGACCAATAAATTATCTAGAACACCACGCAAAATATTCTCCGTGTCCGACATTATTGCTCTTTCTTACAGAACTGAGAAAGAACAAGTTCTTATTATCACCACAATTATACATTCATGTAAATTTTTGTTTGATATTGGTTACCATCATCTTTGTCCACAGCTTTGCTCATTTGATTTTATGTACGTTTCGACTTGTATGCAATTTTTGTAACCATAACTGAATTGATTGTTACCATAATATTAATGAGCTACTATAGACTGGAATATAATATCAATAACGGACGATATACTTCTTTACTAAGGCTAAATGTTCGTATATGAATTCTCATTCACACACATCGATTTATTAATGCTTCAGATAAAGAATACTGTAAACCACTATTGTATTGTTTTATGGAATGGAAAGAAAAAACTGTGTTAAATGCGTTAAGATTCATGCCTATTATATTGTATAGTGAGTGCACTTACACACTCATTTAATATCATCTCTTTTCATAATTTAACATATGAATAAGAATATAAATTAACGCAATTATAAAACTTGTTATTAGAATTAAAAGTAGTTCTTGTGAAGAAATTATGGCATTTGTTCGTCGGGGAACACACGGGGACATCTGCTTGTCAATGAATCGTAAAAGTTTACATAGACAAAATTAATTCTTACATTTTCATTAAAAAAACTCTATTTTTGTTATAAGATTGTTAAAAACTTTTTTGTGAGTATGTATAATTTAAATTTGTCGAAGAAGTTGTTTTATATGTGTGAGAGTCTGGTTAAAAATTTGACTTAAATAAGATAAAAAGAAACATTGCCACTTGAAATAAAACTTGATTTCCTTATTAACTAGACTTACCGTTGTTTTAAACATTATATTGCTAGATCTGAAATCTCCATGACAAAGAACTGGTTTCCCAATAGGTTTACTATATGTATTCATAGTGGGCATAGACTCGAAATATTTTAAAACCTTTTCCTTCTGCTCATCTTTAATAACTTCAAGCATATTGTTCATAACTTTTTTCCAAAGAGCTGCCATTGTTTCCTCGTCAAACTCCTGGTTCCCTATTTCATACTTCATGTGTGTTAATTTTTCGAACTCCTCGGGAGAGTTTTTCGCCAAAGCAAAAGAAAAAGCATGGAATTTAGCAAGGTATTCGACGCTAGCGGATCCGTGCTGCCAATCCAGAGATTTAAATCTATCAAATGTTTTATATCCGGAAGCTAAAAGATTTTCCATTACCACACTTTCTTTTCCAGATACATCACTGCACCAATAGAATTTAGGAAACTTCAATTTCTCCTCCTCTGGGGTTTGAACTTGTAGATCCTCAAAAAGTTTTGCTATTCTTGTGTATACCAGTTGTTCGGTTTTATAAAGCCATCCTGCGGCCAAATCTCTTATCGCGCCAGTGGAGTTAGCAACTTTGGCAAATAAATTCAAGTCTTCCTTAGGTGATTTTACGTCTACAAGGAAGAGACTTGAGGTATAATTGGCTCCACCAGAGGATATAGCTTTGACTGTTACATCTCGGGGCTTTAACCCGCGCTCATCCAGCTCTTTGTCCAAAATATTGCGCAAAGTTTCTTCCGCGTCCGACATTATTGATCGACAATAAACAATTGGACACTGGGCTACACGATATCATGATGCATTATCTTAATCGCGTAAATGTTTCGTATTTTCTGAGAATTAGTTTTATTAACAGGAAAAGGTGCAAATAATTATTATATTCGTTGAATAAAAAAAAAATTGGGATATTACCTGAAGCACAAAGGATTAGTTTTATCAAGTACATCATAACATCAATCAGTGGCATAATTAAGTATTTATGGGATTGATTCAAGTTTGGTGTGACTGAAATTATAATATTATTTCTTATGATAATATTATTATTACATTATCACTAATGATATTATAATTAGGATTGGATGAATAATTTGTGTGCATATTTTGTTTTAAATAAATGTTTTGAAAAGTACCCTGTATAGATAAACGAATGGTCGTAGGAAATCAGTTACCGTGGCCAGTTTTTGTTTAAAATTTGTCAACGTTTTCATTCGAAGGCAATTTGATGAAGGTCAAATGTGAATAATTGCTAAATACATTTAACCTTCATAAAGGAAATGGTGACGGATCTCAGCTAACCGTAACTCCGCCTGTGCTAGTTTTCTACTTAAAACATTATGGAAAGGGATAGAGATTAAATTTAAGGACATAATAATAGCAAAATTATCAATTATCAGTCAAGAAAGGGAAATCTATTTAACTATCTACAAACAATTAATATTTAGTTAATTAACTGATATGACTGATAAAGCAAAACTATGGAAAATTCCCACTTGCTTTTCCGCCTTGCCACAAAGGTTGGAGGTGTAGGTAACTACCCTTTCGCCCGCTACTTCCATTCCCTTCCCTAAGCAACGTTCCGGGGCGTGTTCACACCGCCCATGTTTCTGAGTGGTTCACTCGAAAATTTTGGGTTCTCTTACAGTATCTCAGAGCTATCTTATCAAAAATTTTGAAATAACTTTATCTATTATTTAAATCTCTGACTGTTTATATCACATGTTAGTTTCTAAGTATTCTATTTGTTAGCAATAGTTATTAAGTATACAGCATGCTGTGTGCCTTAAAGATGTATCAGTTTACATTGTTATTTTTGTGTTTTCCTAGATATAAGCTATTACTGAATAGGCGTTGCCAAATCTTTTTTTCCAAACTAAATATACAAATACCGATAAATAAAAAAATATTGTTTCCGGTAGAAGCTATTAAATACAATATGATGAAAAAAATATATGTATTTTGTAATATTTTTGTTATATCCGAAATGCCTCTGTATTTTTATAACTCAAATCAGGCTGGCTTTTGAGAAAATTTGTATACTCGTAGTAGGTACAATAGTATTTTCAATCATTACGTATCTTATATTATGTATATCATCGAAACGTAACAATTACGTCGTATTAATTAGTAGCCGAAATCAAACAAAACATATTCTTATAGCGTCATTACGTCTTATTTATAATAGAGCAATTATTAAAAGTTGTTAAAAGTGTAGTATTGTCTTTTATTAACATAACTTTTACACATTTAAAGAAAACATATGTAAAGTTATTACATATAAGTTTATAATACATAACTTCAATCAGGTAAAAAAGTGTTTTCTTGTTAAAAGCGGTTAAGCAATTAAAGCATCAAAAATATTTACTCTGTTTCGTGTGTTTAAAATAATAACATCAGACATTTACGTATAAAGATGTAAGTATACATAGAAACTTATACCACTCACCTCACCTCTTGCCTTGAAAAGCAAGTTGCTGACCCGAAAATCTCCATGTGAAAGTACCGGTTTCCCAATCGGTTTATTGTAAGAGTTAAACTTAGGCATATTTTGGAAATAACTTAAAACTCGACTTTTATGCTCGTCTTTTGCGACAGCGATCGCTCCTTTAATAATTTTTTCCCACATTGACTTCGAGATTTCGTCGTCACGGGCCTGGCTTCCAATTTCATACTTTATATCTGATAATTCTTTGAACTCTTCAGGAAAGTCCTTCGCCAACGCAAATGATAACGCATGGAACTTCGCGAGATATTCTACACTGGCGGATGCGTGCTGCCAATCTATAGATTTTAATCTGTTGAATGGTTTATATCCGGATGCAACAAGGTTTTCCATTATGACCGTCTCTTTTCCATATTCATCATTGCATCCATAGAACTTAGGAAATTTCAGTTTCACGTCTTCAGATAAATTGTGTTTCTCTTGTAAGTTTTCGTAGAATTTGGCAATTTTTGTGTATGTTAATCTTTCTGTAGCAAACAACCAGTCGGCGCTCATTGTTTGCCTGAGCTGACCAGCTATTATTGCTACTTTCGCAAATAATTTCAAGTCTTCTTTGGGTGTGGTTACATCAACGAGGAATAATTTTGAGGTGTAATTAGCTCCGCCTGATGAGATTGGTTTGACTTTGACATCTCGTGGCTTGTACCCGCGTTTGTCCAACTCTTTATCTAAAACACCAAATAAGGTTTGCTCCGCGTCTGTCATGATTGCACGCCAATCCACAACTGGATGACTCGTGTGACGTGTCGGTGGGGCCAAATAGTTGTGAGTCTAAGAGATTTTATCATTATGCAACATCGCGATTATGTTATGTTTTGATCATTGTGTATGCACAGTATGTTATATTATCAACGTAGTCAAGTAGTGGGTCCGCGAAAAAGGGTTTTTAAAAACTTAAAGTTAAAATGAATACAACCGGTCCGATTTGAGGTCCGTTTAATACTAAATATTACAAGTATTCTATTATATTTATATCCTATTCTTAAAGGCCTACGTGACCGTTGTGCTGACACATTGTTCTCACGCTCTACAAGGAAACGTTACTTAGTAAGAACTAAGAGTGGTTCGTAAATCATGTAAGTGTGGTTCGTAAATCATGTAACAGCATTTCGGCTATTGAAATATAAAGGATCTTTGTACTACTATGTTGCAATGGTTTTTTGTTTATATAAAATATAATTATCCTATGGTGGTGACACACGGGATTATATAACTCCTCCCTCCTTAAGAGCGAAATTATCAGGGATTGCACATGCAAATTCTGATTATTTCGCCACTGCAACATATTAATAATCTTATTTTTTATAAAAAACACAACAATTAGCAAAATACAATAAAAGAGTGCCTAAACTAATGCTTTTCACTTTCACTGAATTGCCCATTTCACTATCACTATCTCTGTTAAGTTGTTACAGCATGTAAGACATGTGTTGCCGGTCACTGAGCTCCATTCCTTGTAAGTTTACTGGATTCTGATTTTCCTTAGAGTTCACTGTTGACTGTAACTCCAGCAGCTTAATGGATGGGATACGTTCTGATGACATATTTTCTGTATATGAACGCTGATGATGTAATTGGATGTCATTGATGTTGAGATCGCAGGGTTAATCTATAGTAATTATATATTATGTTCCCTTTATAGAGTTTCGGCTTATCTCATTTTTGCAATTATTTTGAATAATGATTTGATTACTATTATTGTACCTTTACCTCTTCTATAATTACTGTATTCTGGTCACAGTTGGATGGGTTTTCCTTGAAGGTCATCAGCTCCTCAATGCATGTCGTTTCAGGATACGGTGCCCCTGTTTTCTTGTGTGCAGAGATAATTTTCCTCAGAGACTTGTTTGCAAGGCTGTATAAGCGGTAAGTATGTTACACCTTTCACCAGGATATAGGGATATTAGGGTTAGGTTTTTAGGGTCATGAAAGATAGGTAAGGGATACATTTTATTACTATAAGTTGAATTGGTTATTAAAGCTACCTCTAATACAAAAGTTATTTTCCTGTCTATCATGTATGATTTAACATTAATCGTATCTTCTAATTTAACTAAATTATCCCAAGTGGGTGGATACATAAGATTTTCTGACTGTGATATATAAATTAAAATCTGTAATAAATGTGTAAAACATTGGTTTTGGTGAAAGCCAAAGCAATTTCTAATTCGCTTATTTTTTATATAAAGCGTTCTAAAATTACTAACAAAAAGATTATATAAACTTAAAACATATGTAGAGTATACTGCATTATTTTCTTTAGTACTTATGTCTTTTAACATTTTTTTTTTTACACGTTTTAGTCTTTCGTCCATAATTTTTGAGTTATTGTGTAATATTTCTGATGAATTAATGAGTCCATCTAACATTTTGAAAACAACTGTTAAACGCTTGTTTGTGGAAATTTTGTTGATTACCTAATTGATTTATTAACTGTTCATATCGTTGAGCATCTTCCTGATCTAAGTTTCCAGTTATCATTTTAATAATAGAGCCTAAAGGGTTCAATATTCCTCTTCGTACTCGGTGTGCCTAATCTTTTCAGTAGTTATTCTTTGCAAATACTCTACTTGTTCCCTAATTCCTAAAAATTCTTTAAACTAAGGCTTATCATCACTTACTATCTTACTAAAATTACTATATTTCCCATTGTTATATTCTAATTCCATTAGTAGGCCATTCAAATCTAATACCTTAAAAAATAAGCCAGTTATCCTGTTTGATGAAGGATGTTCCCTGTCTTACGGATCCCTGAATTGTTTTCAACCTTTTGAAGTTGAAGGCCCAAGCTGGGGCTCGTGAGTGTCATCGTGATCACTAAGCACCACCTTTGGAGGTCGTTTTATGTTTTTAATTGGTACCTTTTTGTGTTTACCTCTAATTTTAATAGGGATGGTGTTTCTTTCAGGTTTTCCTGTAACTATGGCCTTTTCAAAACAAGGTTTGTACTTACTTCTACGAGTGTTTATTAATTTTGTGAAAATTGTTTTCCCTTCTGGTAACGGGACGTCGGATTTGCCACCGCGTTTTTCTCTAGAGTTTTCCTTAAACGTTAACATTTTATCAGATATGATTTTGTATAAAACTTTTATTCTTTTGGCGTGATCTTTAATTAATTTTTGCAAGTATCGTTTCTCGAAGTCTATATTGAATGCGTTTTCAGAATCTACATGGCCAAACACTACTTCAAACGGTGTTAAAGTTGTTACAGTATGAATCGCATTATTATATGCCATGATGAGTGATATAATAGATGCGGCGTCGGTACATTGTTGTTCGTATTTTGTCAGTCTGTAAATTTCAATTAAGGTGGAATGAAAACGTTTAACTATTCCCATTGCATTAGGGTTCCTAGGTGTGTCGATATGTATTTGGATTCTATAGAGTGACATCATTTCTTTCAATAGATCGTTGTTGAATTCAGTACCAGAGTCGCAGCTTATTTTCTTAGGTATGCCGTAAAATGAAAAGTATTTTATTAGTGCGCGGATAACGTCAGGTGTGCCTTTGATAGTAATTTCAATTGCCTGTCTTAGTTTGCTAAAAGCGTAAACTAAGGTGAGGTATGTTTTTCCTTCGATACTAAATATATCTATAAATAATTCCTGGAATGGGGCATCTTGCGTTAGAGTTAACTGTAAATATGGTTTCAAAGGCTTTCGGTCATATTTCATTTGTTTACAGGCTTCACAAGAATTAATTACTGCTGATATAGTTTCTTTCATGTTATTCCAAAAGAAGTGTCGCCTGATGCGTGTAAAAGTTTCTTGAATACCTCTGTGACAGGTTTTCCCGAGATGAAATTTCAGAATAACGGCTTTCTGTTCATTTTCATCGTCAATAAAAACTATTCTTTCCGTACACTCAAAAAATTGAATTGATCCACCTTTAAAAAGCCTAATTACCATGTTGCTGAATTGTTTGCGATGTTCCGTATTTTCGAAATATATAAAATATTTCTTTTTGGGTTTTATGTATTCTTTCAGGAATTGTTTGATTAAATAATTACACAATTACTCAATAATTTTAGCTCACAGAATTTGATGTGAATCTAAACTTATACTTACTTTAGGGGTTGCAGAATTTCATGCACTAACCTACTTACTTCTATGTTTCTTTAATTTACTTATTACAATTTACGTTTATATATGAATTTAACTCTAACAAAGTCTTAAAACTATCGTTAAGATGAGAGATGTCGATCTCAAAATAACAAAAGAAAAGTGGAGAGGGCTGGATTTGAAAGGTGAAAAGGTGACTTACCAGTACATCGCTGCCTCAACACTCGCACAAAACACCCTTAACGCTTTTGGATTTGCGTTCTTGACAAATTTATTTGTTCTTTTGAATAGCCGTTTTTAGCAATCGCGACGTAGTTTCCCCTTTTTAGGTAAGCAGAATTTGATGCTCGAACCGATAATTGAGAAGTACGTGCAGCTAGAGCGACTATCCTGTCCTCAGCGCCAGTCAAGTAGTGAGTCCGCGAAAAAGGGTTTTTTAAAAACTTAAAGTTAAAATGAATACAACCGGTCCGATTTGAGGTCCGTTTAATACTAAATATTACAAGTATTCTATTATATTTATATCCTATTCTTAAAGGCCTACGTGACCGTTGTGCTGACACATTGTTCTCACGCTCTACAAGGAAACGTTACTTAGTAAGAACTAAGAGTGGTTCGTAAATCATGTAAGTGTGGTTCGTAAATCATGTAACAGCATTTCGGCTATTGAAATATAAAGGATCTTTGTACTACTATGTTGCAATGGTTTTTTGTTTATATAAAATATAATTATCCTATGGTGGTGACACACGGGGTTATATTAACTACGTCGCCTTTGTTGCTGCCCGATAACCGGTTGTGAATACAATAAATAGCTGATTTAGAAATAATGCCATAAGCCGAATTAAGTTTTTTTAACAATATATTTTTGGTAAATTAAGTTTTTTGATGAAGAACATTTGATTTTTTTCTAGGCCGTAATCATAGTACAAAATTCTTTAGAAATCCAATTTTTTTATATTTATTTCAAAACCTTACCAGTTACCATACATTCCCCAAAATGTATAGAAGAATGGATTTAATTATTTTGATATAACACGCTTACTAATATAAATAAATATATATATATATATATATAAAAATTGTATGCTGGTTCGTGTACGCTTTAAAAACTCAAAAAGTTCTGCACCGATCAAGCTGAAATTTTAGCATGATACATTATCCGCATCAAGGATTGTTCTTATCAATTTTTTTATCATTTTTTTTTGGTTTTTTATTTTTTAAGTACAAGTACTCAAGTATTGGAAAATTAAACTTATATGAAATGTATTCTTTGTTTTGTTTCTCATTTCTCAACCATTCAATCACAATGTGCCACAGCGAAGCGGTGGCAGGGAACAGCTAGTGAATTTATAATAATGAAATAGTTTTAACCTCTTGAAAATTGCATAGCAAAATGTGACTAAACAAGTCAAGCTTGATAACAAAGAAGTTCTCCACGCAGTCGCAGGCACATTTTATTGAGAGATGCCTTAATAGACAAGATAGTCCAAATGATAGTTCAGAATATAGAATAACTAAAGATATTTTGATTTGAAACCTAGCGTAACACAAATACTTAGATATTGCCGAGGTATAAAGTTATTAGAACATTGTTTGCGGTTTTATGAGTGGGCATAGTTGATTTGATTGACAATTGTACTC